CAGGCACCTGAAGTGTGGATAATAGCCCCCTTTTCTTAATGAAAACAAGCTAATTCAGAGAATTCGTGTCCCCCGCTTAGGGAAAAAGTCGGCTCCCCCTGACTGAATTTGTAGAATTATTAAATGTATACATGTATACTGAAGCAAATAAAATACATGTATGTCAATATGCATATAAAGATTTGATTGCTTATTCTTTATTATGTGTATAGAAGATTTTTTTTTTTTATATAGAATGTTTATCACACTGTAATGATGATTTTATAACCTCATAAATTTTTCATTTCACATGCTGAATACTATCATTTAGTAAAAAAAAAAGTATTTAAAAAAAAAAAAAGAAAGGATCGACAGAGATTCGATCCCGGGACCTCTCACATTTGAAGCGAGAGACATAACCACTAGACCACGGAATCGCTTTACGCGTTGTGAAGTATATGCAGAATTGAAGTCACATACACGTATATATTCATGTTTTCATGTTCGGTATATTCTCAAAATTTTACACAATCCATGGTGTTTGATTTATTTAGCCTTTATTAAACAGTTCTAATAGATGTAATAAGAACATAATGTCCGCCGAGAACCTGTTTTATACGCAATAACTCTCCTCATGCCCCTGCACTAAAAATAGCGACATGTAATACTATAAATACTAATAAAACAAACGGGGCGGGGCACTTTGAGAGGGGCGAGAGACGTCCTAGGAGTTTTGGTATAAAATTACATTGCATAAGCTCAAAATCTTCTTGAAATATCGCCCGAAAATGATAGTTTTACATACAGACAGAATGTATAAATTTACGACCTTGAACTTTGACCTTTTGACCTCAAAATCAATAGGGGTCTTCATTAGGCCACAGGGAGTTGTTATGTAAAATTTCATTGCAAAAGCTCAAATGGTTCTCGAGATATCGTGTGGAAACGAAAGTGTTTTAACAGACAGAATTTGCTTATTTATGACCTTGACCTTTGACCTTTTGACCTCAAAATCAATAGGGGTCTTGTTTAGTCCATAGAGAGTTGCTATGCTAAATTTCATTGCAAAAGCTCAAAGGGTTCTCGAGATATCGTGTGGAAACGAAAGCGTTACAGACAGACAGAAAGACGGACGGACCCACGAAATGCAGGTTATGTGACTGACAAATTTATGTGACTTTTTGTCCCCCGCTTGAAAAGTGGGGGATATTAATTTGGGTTTGTCCGTCCGTCCGTCCGTCCGTCCGTCTGTCCGTCCGTCCGTCCGTCCGTCCGTCTTTCTGTCTGTCTGTAACGCTTTCGTTTCCACACGATATCTCGAGAACCCATTGAGCTTTTGCAATGAAATTTAGCATAGCAACTCCCTATGGACTGAAGAAGACCCCTATTGATTTTGAGGTCAAAAGGTCAAAGGTCAAGGTCATAAATAAGCAAATTCTGTCTGTTATAACACTTTCGTTTCCACACGATATCTCTAGAACCATTTGAGCTATTGCAATGAAATTTTGCAAAGCAACTCCCTGTGGCCTAGGGAAGACCCCTATTGATTTTGAGGTCAAAAGGTCAAAGTTCAAGGTCGTAAATTTATACATTCTGTCTGTGTGTAACACTATCATTTCCGGGCGATATTTCAAGAAGATTTTGAGCTTATGCAATGTAATTTTAAACCAAAACTCCCTAGGACCTCTCTCACCCCTCTCAAAGTGCCCCGCCCCGTTTGTTTTATAAGTATTTAAAGTATTACATGTCGCTATTTTTAGCACAGGGGCATGCGGAGAGTTATTGTGTATAAAACAGGTTCTCGGTGGACTTTATGTTCTTATTACATCTATTAGAACTGTTTAATAAAGGCTAAATAAATCAAACACCATGGATTGTGTAAAATTTTGACAATATCGAGCATGAATATATACATGTATGTGACTTCACTTCTGCATATACGCGACGACATTTAAAGCGCCTACGTGGTCTAGTGGTATGTCTCCCGCTTCCTACGCGAGAGGACCCGGGATCGAGTCTCGGACGATCCTTTTTTTTTTTTTTTTTTTTAATTTTCTTTTTTTTTTTTAAATGATAGTATTCAGCATGTGAAAAGAAAAATTTATGAGGTTATAAAATCATTATAACAGTGTGATAAATATTCCATATAAAAAGAATCTTCTATACACATAATAAAGAATAAGTAATCAAATCTTTATACGCATATTGACATACATGTAATTGTATTTTATTTGCATCAGTATACATGTATACATTTAATAATTCTACAAATTCAGTCAGGGGGATCCGACTTTTTCCCTAAGCGGGGGACACGAATTCTCTGAATTAGCTTGTTCCAAAAAAATTATGTGGCGCAAAACATGATACATGGGGTAAGGGAGGTAAATCTCAAAACCTTTTGACGGACGTCCATATACGGACAATATTGTCCGTATTTTTTTATGTGACACTTCTTTAGAATGATTTTTTAAGTCACATAACACTCATTTCTGCTAAAAAAAATCAAATTTGTATGTGACAGTCACATAAAACAAAAGAGTCACATAAATCTTAAATGGGCACAAAAACTGTCACTTAACCATTATTTCGTGAGAACGGACGGACGGACGGACGGACACACATTTGGTTATATATTGGGTACATCAAGTCCAAGTCCTATTGGATACTGCTTATTGGATACAAAAAAAGTGTACACACGAGAGAGCATTATTTGGGTAGTTACTGTTCAAGTCTTATTGGATATTAATCCTCGTGTCCGTATTTTATTGGGTTTTTTCTTATTGTTTTTTATTCATTTCAAATTTATTATATATTTAATATTTGCTGGTAAATTCAGACAAGACTGAAAACCTTTGGTTTTGAATCCATATTTTTGTCAATTTCTGTGATATAGCTCTTTTATTGTAACACCTAACTAAATTGTTCTTAGCAATAAGGATATACACCTGTATATTTCAAAATATCTAATATTAAAATAGATGAATACCTAAGTGCAAAAAAACTGAATTGTGAAAACACAACTCAACACATCTCAGACTCTGTTCAACCTTTCTTGAATAACAAAATTAAGTATCTAAGGAGAAACCTTTTTGAGTCATGACCAATTAATAATAAGCAAATGCCCATTACATGTTGGGCAAAATGAAGGTATCCAACAGGCATTAGACAGGTGTCCAATACCTGTTGGGTTGTATTTTGACGAAGGGATTAAACTACCCAAGAACAATTGAACATGTGTACATTGTCCAATTCTATTTGGGTTTCTTGAATCTCCTCATCAAAATAAAACCCAACAGGTAATGGACACCTGTCCAACTCCTCTTGGATATCTACATCCCACCCAACAGGCAATGGACACTTGTCTAATTCTTGGGTTTGTTGAATTGCATCATCAAAATAAAACCCAACAGGTAATGCACACCTGTCCAACTCCTCTTGGATATCTACATCCCACCCAACAGGTAATGGACACTTGTTCAATTCTTCTTGGGTTTCTTGAATTGTTTCATCAGAATACCACCCAACAGGTAATGGACATCCGTCCAACTTCTCTTGGATATCTACATCCCACCCAACAGGCAATGGACACTTGTCTAATTCTTGGGTTTCTTGCATCTCCTCATAAAAATAACCTGGTAATGGACACCTGTCCAACTCCTCTTGGATATCTACATCCCACCCAACAGATAATGGACACTTGTTCAATTCTTCTTGGGTTTCTTGAATTGTTTCATCAGAATATCACCCAACAGGTAATGGACACCTGTCCAACTCCTCTTGGATATCTACATCCCACCCAACAGGCAATGGACACTTGTCTAATTCTTGGGTTTCTTGAATTGTTTCATCAGAATACAACCCAATAGGTAATGGACACCTGTCCAACTCCTCTTGGATATCTACATCCCACCCAAAAGGTAATGGACACTTGTCCAATTCTTCTTGGGTTTCTTGAATTGTTTCATCAGAATACCACCCAACAGGTAATGGACACCTGTCCAACTCCTCTTGGATATCTACATCTCACCCAACAGGTAATGGACACTTGTCCAATTCTTCTTGGGTTTCTTGAATTGTTTCTTTAGAATACCATCCAACAGGTAATGGACATCCGTCCAACTCCTCTTGGATATCTACATCCCACCCAACAGGCAATGGACACTTGTCTAATTCTTGGGTTTCTTGAGAATCCCCTCATCAGAATACTACCCAACATGTAATGGACACCTGTCTAATTCCTCTTGGATATCTTCATCCCTTCAATAGGATATAAACTAAAAGGTATTGGACTTTCTTCTTGGGTAACTCAAATTTTTTTTCATAAGAAAGAAAACCCAATAGGTATTGGACATTGGTTCAACTCTTCTTGGGTATTACATCCCAACATTAGAATAAAACCCAACAGGTGATGTTTACCTGTCCAATTCTTCTTGGGTTACTTAAACCCTTCATCAAAAATTGTCAAATTTGTCTTTGATATTTATACTCTTGCATTTGATTGCAAACCCAATAAGTATGACATTTACCTTCCCTAGCTGAATTCAAATTTATCTGCATAAGCATACATAGGTCCAAAACATATTTAATACTTTAATTCTAACATTCCACATCTCATTCAGTGTACACTTTACAAATGATAGGAAATATATAAGCATTTTGTGACTAAACTATTTGGCTTTTAAAGAATTTTATAACCATGTTTGCAAAATTTAAATTTAAATATTGGAACTTGGAGCAAGTCATTACAGGTAGAGCAAGATGCTGAAAACCATATTGATAAATAGATCACACCCTTCATAAAATATTTGCCTTCAGTTGCTAAGATTGCGTTGTTTTATATGGAAAATTTCTATAATCCTGTTTATTACAGATACATGTACAATGCATATTTTCCCTATAATAATAAAAAAACTTCTGAGATGTAAAAGAATGGATTAAATAGTCACCGATGTTAAAAGACATTACATGATCTCATTAATCTGGTTTGGAAATCACAAACTTAGTTTTGAAACCAAAAAACTCAGTTACAAGTACAATGAATGAATTCGTTGTATCAAAATTTTAAAATAATTGATGCACTATGTCCAAATCTTTTCGACAAATCGGGATAAAGATATTAAATCAAATCATCACTGTTATAAGTCTTAGAGCTAGAGAAAAGTCATTACATGCCCAAATTTTACATGTAAGACTTTGATCCTATATTTCAATAAATGTCAAAATGGTTTTATTTTTGTTTCTGTTCAATACTTTCTTCTTCAGGGTCTCTCATGGCCTATACAGTATGATACTTCCATTGACCCTGCTCTTTTATATTGCCATATGTTTGTCCAGTAGCAGTGGTTATGCTCAGGCAATCTTTGAAATATTCCTCATTTCATGCATCTCCTTCAGTTCTGCCTCTGTCCATTTTATTCATTCTGCAATTAGATAAAGTAGTGTTGGCATCGAGTACCCGGTTAACCGGTTACCCGCCGAACGATGCGAGTATCGGTTAGTAAAACTGCTATTCGGTTACTCGGATAAAATGCATCTTACATGGTAAATAACTAAAAAATAAAATGTTAATTTGTTTATAAGCGTACAAATAAACATTTCTCTAATTTTCTTTACCGTTAGACTTAATGATCTATGGTTTCACTAATACGATTGATTGGTTTTCACACTTAATTGATAGCTTTGATTGACCCAAGTTATAATTACCTCATTAAATAATTTAACAAGATGCCGCCTAAGACATGTACATGTATAGCTTAGAAGTATTTTAAAAGAACAGCTGATTCAATACCTGTAAAATGTAATTAATGTGAATTCAATGGACTTATCGTGACTTTAAATTTCTAAATAATTATTCTCCTTGATCGTGACATATATCGGGGATTGAAAAGTAAAACTAATGAACGCCAATTGTAAAATAGCGTGAATATGTATTTTTCTTTTGATTTAATTAATTTTTTGATTATAATTATATTTAAAGATATTGCGTGCGTGTTCTTTTTAGGTTTATAAATAAAGTAAATTTACAATACCATTGTGTTTTATTTGAATCGATGAGTAAAAGATGAGATAAGATATACATATGAATAAATCATCCGAGTAACCGGGTACTCGATCGGAAGATTGAGCGAGTAACCGGTTACTAAAAATCGTCTGATTTGCCAACACTAAGATAAAGGCATTTCTTTGCCGTATAAAACATGTTTTTCTTGACTACAGCAAGATCACCCTTTATGTTGATCAAACCCAACCAAGACGTAGAAGTGTATTTCTTATTCAGAAATATGTATTGATAAATAAAATGGAAATTAAAACTAAATTCTATCAACTCTTTTTTCTTCTTCTATGTCTAACTGCATCTTCATCCTACCCCCCATCCGCCATAATTTTATCAAAATGGAATCATCATTCAACACACAAAACGATGTTGCATATTAATTAGACAGTATGTTAGTTTCTGATTGTTAAGAAGGAGATTTTAAAAAGATTTTACACCTATTCCTTGCAAATTTTAGACTTCTAATGTAACACTTTCAGTACATTAGGGGTACATAATCTTCAAAATCATCTCTACACTTAATGATAAAGCTTTCACATTAGTATTGTTTTTAGCCCAATGGTTCTGCTAAAGAGGATTTAAAATTGACCCAAACCTTACTAACTGCTTTGAAATTATATTGACAGGGACAGAGACTCACTTGACACTCCATCCCCCCTTCCTGGGGTATGCTTTGCACAAAATTTAATTAAAATTGACTAAGCTAGATAGAAGTTGAAAATATGAAAATATACAGTCAAACAGATTATGAATAACTTTCAGCACATCAGACATGATGTAGTGATCCTTAAATAAAATACACCTACAAGATGAAGCTGTTTTATTCCTATAAAGTGATATCTAGTATTGTTTCTTTTCCTGTATGCCACCTCTATCAGAACAAAATGTTATACATGTATTAACATAACCTATGACCGTATAGTACCCCAGTATTTACTTTACAATCAATTAAGTTTTGGAACCAACCCTCAGATGCCCTGAAAACAAATGATTCTAAACTGGCAAAGGTAAAGGGCATCTGAAGAATTTAAAATAAAATGATAGTACAAACAAGCAAACAGTGTGCATGAAAATGTTGGCAAACACTAGAAAAAATACTAAGGTACTTTCTCAAACTTAACATGAATACTAAAGAGGTTTTATGTAGCTGTATTGCACATACCAAAAGCTTTCCTGCAGTTAAAAGTTGGTTGCCTAGAAGTTATGTAGTATGTACAAGTTTTTCCCTCTATCTCTTCTAATTTAAGAAGCGAAAATGTCTCTAAATATCTTATGGTTGGCATGAAGTATTCCTGTTCATTTTACTGATTACTTACAATTGTCCTATTTCTGAGGGTCATCTTCTGATGAGTTTGTTCTCTGCAATGTTCACAATTGAAGTTCCTGTTTGACCTGTAACATACTGAAAATCCTCAATGAACATGATTATGGTTTTAATTTCCATTGTAATTATTGATTACTTTTATAAAAAAAAATCTAAACCAATTTATTGTAACATAATACTTAGGAAAATATTTATGTAATATCATTGGAAAAAATGAATCATTATCTCCAGTTATCCTAAAATCACAAGTAAGCATTAATCATATAAATTCACATACGTAAACCCATTAGCTTTTTGTGATATTAAATCATAAGTCATCGCTGTGCAATAAAGGAAATGAAGTACATATCCACAGCTTTGTGGCAATAAGGTTACTATCCCCGAGTAAAAAGTGACAAGCCCAAATATAGAGGCAAAAACTAAAAAGTAGCATTGAAAAAACGTTCTTCGTAAAAAAAAGTCAGGGTATTAACTACAGATGATTCTTTTTAAAATTAAAGTTTAATTTAATTTTCGCTAGTAAAATTTAATCATATATAAATTAATGATTTTAAAAAATGAAAAAAAAGATTTAAATTTTCCTCTTCTGGTCATTCACTAGTTCGTCTAATTAAAGCGAAGCAAAAATCATTTTGTTTTCATCTTGAATCATTTAAAGCCATATATGGCATATGTACAATGAAAATTATTTAACTAAAATTATAAAAACTTATTATTTGTATCATTACTTTATATAAACATGATAAAGATAGAATATTTCCCTAAATTACAAAATCTAAGTCAATTGCGTTATAAAGATATCAAAATTTAATTTAGATTCTCGGAATTTCCTCCGACTTGGAAGAAAACACAAAAGATTTGATAACACATTACAGAGAAGATAAAATCGTATTATTAGAAAAAACGAGGTGTTCTCCGTGCTCCGAATTGTATGAAAAGCTTTGATTTAAATGTATTAATTATGTTTCTTTACTTAATTTTGTATTTTTCAAAAATATATTTTTTGATCAGTTACGCCATATATGGCTTTAAAGAAAACGCTACATAATTGCATGAAACTTATCATTGAGCTGATTGAGTGAATGTATATAATTTAATAATGAGATATCTGTGAGGCATATATGTACATGCAAATATTGCTATATTAAAAAAAGGAAAGGGGGGAATTCAAATTAGGAAATAAAAGATCGTTTTTAAGTAAATCAGTCTTGTAGTACTGCAAAATGGATGCAGTTGTGTAGATTTATGGATAATATGAGCATGCTGTCTGGAATATTTCCATATTAGGGAATTTAATATCAAAAAAGAGTGAAAATACCGTTGGTGCTTTTCATGTATTACATGTGTATTTTAAAATGCATAATAGCCCAAGGGGATTCCTCAGTGCAGAAAACCAATAGCCCCATCCTCAAAAATGGAAGCCCAGGGTGTAGCGCGATGCTAATTACACACCCATCATGTGAAATAGTTATAGTAGCTCTATAACAATTTCAGTATTGTTTTAAATTAAATTATAACAAATGACAGAAACAATAATTTAAAAAAAAAAATCAAAATAAAGCAGACACTCAATAGTGTTAAATCCAGACCATAAAAAGGGCATGGTAATCAAGGAATCAAAAGGGCAATTTGTGTCGCGACAGGATCTCACGAGGGCACTTCGAAAACAAATGTTAATGTCATTGAAATTATATTTAACATTTTTTTTAATTTTTACATACTTTAACATGTTTAATTACTTTTAATATCCTTTCATATTGAAATCTTTATTCAAAACAAGTAATTTAAAGATAAATTCATATATCTGTATTCCATTCTTTTTTTAAACAATGTTTTAATTATTGATTCAGAAACAAAAAGAATATAAAAAAGGCATTTACATCCAATTTCTTCAATAAAAAAAGTAGTAAGGTTACACTTGAGAAAGTAATGGTATTAATCTAGCTAAAACAGGTGCAAAAATTATTAAAGTTTGGAGGTATGATTGTTTTTTTTACCTGCTTGGACTGTTATTTGTTTACATGTACAGTCAATTTAAACATTAAAGGAAAATACTTTTTTCAGGGAAGGGGGGATGGGCATTTTGAAAAATACATGTAGAGACCATTCTCTTTACTTGGAAAATATTCTACCAACAGGATCATGTAAAAACTGGTCTTACTGCCATGCATAATTTGCTTTAAAAAAAAATCTGGCTTTAATTAGAAACTTTTACCCTCAGCTTTTCCAATCTATCAGTTCAATCAAAGAAACTAACTTAGTTTGTTGTTTTTAAGCCTTTTTTATCACATTACATTCATTTTTTTTTTGGTACACTGTAAGTATTTTATTCAGATAAAATATCGGATTCCGTTTTTTCTTCAAGTTGAACTATGTGTTTTATTCTACTTTCGGTTTACAGTAAAACGCGTTTAGTACGAACACGGATATAGCGAATTCACGGATACAGCGAAGTTTTTCTTGGTCCCCGGCAAAATTCTTAACAAATCTTTGTAAAATTTTACGGTTATAACGAATTCTGATATAACGAATTTACGGATATAGCGAACTGATTTTGATTCCCGTTGAGATAAAATATAATGAAATTTACATCTTCTATAACGAACTTTCAAAGATCTTTAAATGAGATAAATTGAACTGACTTTATTTTCTTTTAGCATCTGTATATAAAATTCAATTCATAATAAAACCTTAGTTATCGAGAGTATTTTTTTAAAATTTGCTTCCATAACATATTTTGTAGTAACACTTGAAGGAAAACATGCATATTGCGAATTCGCTATATATGGTTATACGAATTCGTTATACGGATATAACGAATTACGGATATAGCGAATTAAATTCACAGGTCCCCAGGACTTCGCTATAACCGAGTTTTACTGTATAAATAAACGATCCTGATTTTGATTAGTTAATAATTTACGAGTTTATTTATCTTTGGTCTTGGGCTAATTCTTGCATAATCAATGCAATCAAATGACAGTTTCTCAAGTTAAATCCTCTACCCTGACAGCCTGAGGCATGTTAATTAGCCAGGTGGCTGTGTGCGTGCGTTCAAGCGTGAAGTGATTTCCTGTCGTGATTATCAGCATGCACTGAATAAACAGAACAGCAAAGGAATATTGCCTAAACTGGGCATATTTATTAATTTGATTTTGAAACAAAATCAAATACAGAAAGAAGCACTTTTTTTTACTGAAAGTTTTTCAATAATACAATGAATCTCTTAAGTTACATATCAGATGAGATAAATTTACATACACTTATTGAGTTGTTGTCAATTATCCCATTTATGATCATCTCAGCTCACTTTGCGATTGTAATACTGTCTACATGAACCGATAATTTACAGCTGATTTATGAACACACGATTGTTAAAATTTTCATTTCCCTTTCCAATATACATTGTCAGAACATACTTAGTTGTTTATGATATAAAATTAAATAATAAACACTTTCGATTTATTAAAGATTATCTAACAATATACGATCATTTACTAAATACTTATCGCCCTCAAGAGAGTTAAAAAAGACAGAGAAAATTCAAAATACAAACAAGTGCAACTTAGGATTAATTGTTCCGATATATCTATCTTAATTTTGTGCACAATTGTTTTCAAAATTACATTAAAATATATTTTCCTTAAACAAGAACCCAGAAATGGATAAATATTAATCGAATAAACTTACCTTTTCTCTTGTCAATCAGAAAATCTTGTTGACATTAAGTGTTTCTTAGTCGCCATATTTTTTTCCATGAAAACAAACGTTGTTATGATCAGGATCAACGGAAGTTGATTTTCGGAACTCTCGAGAATTTAGAGTTCCGAATGTAAAACTGAAACAACAAAACACGGTGCGTCCGTGAAAGCAACTTTTTTGGACACTTTTTTGGACAAATCGTCGTGTCCAAGTTTTGTTGGGTACTAACCTGCAAATACCCAATTAGGGTGTTTTAAGCATATTCAGCTACACTTCTTATTGGGTATACCCAATAAGCAAAAAGTACCCAATAAGTACAATCTTGGCATGAAAAATACCCAATAAATGCACTCTCGTAAACACGGACAGACGGACGGACGGACGGACGGACAAACCCAAATTAATATCCCCCACTTTTCAAGCGGGGGACAAAAAATGTAAGAGTATATAATATCTCAGAAATATAAAATTTCCCCGTCAAACACATAGATCTATATGTCGTCCTTTGCAAGTAGATTTTACTTTTTCTCACGTTTAAAGAATGGCCTTATACGGTATAATTTTATTATACCGTATACAAACATGCAAACATTTCTATCTTCTATGAAGCCCAGATAACCCGCGGGTTCTAATTCAGGATATCCGGGGTATGGAGACCAGTCCTTAGGATAAGACTGTACAAACTGAGGTAACGTGTCAAAGTAAATGTCAGTGGCATGAAAACGATCCATCACTTCTCAATGGCTCTGAATATAGTTCAAATTTTGCAGCTCTCCACCGACCAGTGAAAAATTCTGGCGAGAGTGACGTAAAACAACATAGGCTATAAACTTAATTATTAGTAAAGTATTGGGTTCATCTTCTGTTAAATGTTACGATGTTACCTAAAATGAATTAATGAAGGGAATTAGAAGTCTCTCTATCCAATACTTGATAAACAGGAAGCAACTAACTCCATTTTAATGAAAAGTCTTGTGAAAAAAAGTGTGGGGGTAGCCCCCCCCCCTAGGTTGCTACATGCCTGTTTTTGAGATCACCCGTGGGTATCCGGCGATGAAGGACCCAGTTTCAAGTTAACGATAAATGTGATGAGAGTATGTACCGAGACACAGTTAAATTATTTTAATTAACTATACAGTACCTGAAAATTAGATAATTAAGGACAGATGATACAAACAAATTTTTGTCAAGGAATTTGAAAATAACAACTTGGGTCATGTTTAAATGAGTAAAATGAATAACTTTCACCGCGTACTTTTTCATTTTTACTTAAATTTTGCAAAAAAAAAATGGAATTTGAAGTGAAAATATTTGTATAAATTAATAAGGATGGTTTCAGAAGGGCAGACTTTTGAACACCACAGAAGGTTTACAATTTCTTTATATTCTAGAAATTTATTATTTGCATCATTTGCCATTCAATTATGCCAAAAAAATGAATATCAATCCAGGCATCCATTTTTTGTTTGTATCATCTGTCCTTAAGTACTATGTGGTTAAAAAAAACAAGAAGGAGGTATCTGAAATTGAGATAGGTATTTATTGGTAAAGAAAACAAAGAATAAGGGTGTTTTCAATACGAAACAAGTGCCTGTGATACATATGGAAAAGTTCGCAAAGTCGGACGTTCCATATTTTTATTATCCAGGTGAGTTTCCATATTGCGTGAGACCAGATGACTGAAGCTCTCAAACTTGTGAAGTGAAACTCTTCTGATGACAACATGCGGACTATCTGGAGAGACTGCAAGGTAGACTTTATCAGAATTTATATACTCGAAAAGCTGAAAAAACTTGCAATCAAGATTCTCTGAGAAAACAGAATAGGAATTTTGGTATGCCTTGTTTTTGTACGAGGACGGATGTGTAAATAGCGTGTTTTTTGGCAGGCGAACCATTGGGGACAAAATTAACTTTATATTGGTAAATACTGCATCGTTTTTTGATATATTTTTTAAAAAAATTATAGCATAATTTTATGAATTTTTCATGCCCCTTCATCGAAGATTCAGGGGTGTATTGTTTTGGTTCTGCCCGTCCAACTGTCTGTCTGTTTGTCCGCAAAAACTTTAACGTTAACCTTGCTCATTATACTTTTTTATAGTGTCTGGTGCTATGACTTTCATATTTTACAGGCGTATTCTTGTGATAAGACCTTTCTTTGGGTACCACCAAATTTGACCTCTTGACCTTGTACATGTAGTTTGACCCACTTCTACAAAAAATATGACAATCACACTAACCTTTGTCATATATTTTAACAGTTGGTACCAGGGCTTTTATACTTCACATATCCACATATGTATTCATTATGACAAGACCTTTCAGTGACATTTTTGACAGAGTTATGCCCTTTTGGACTTGGAAAAATTCCATTTTGGGGGGGAGGGGGCATAGATCTAAGTGTTTTACAAACATTTCTTGTTAATAAAAGGTTAAGGTAGGATTCTTCTCTGGTTTCTGACTAGATGGAATATTCAAAGTACATTTGTTGATATGTCTTATATATTTAGATGTAAGACATTTAAAAGACCATATTTATCTTTCCTCATCACAATTATACTACTTTAAATAGAAATGGTGAACTGCGTTTGAAAACTAGCAGGCACTATATTTTTGGCGGAATGGTGGCGTATGAAAATATTTTCTTTTCTGCCTCTCAAAATTATTATAGAACATTGAATTTAGTTATAATTTTTACGCAATCGAAGACTAGACGAAATTTTCAAATGTAAGTTAAATTAATAATAAGTGACTAAAGTTTCAAAATATATCAAATAAATAAGATTTTTCACACATACTATAACTATGTTGGCTTTGTAAATGCTTCAAATCTAAGTACAGATTTGAGCCAAAAATCCGTGAAAAGTGTTATTTCTCTCTTAGTAAACGATCAAAACTTTTTAGTTTTTGTAAGTTAAATATAGGAAAAATAGAAAAATAACCAATAAATAATAAAAATTTAAGAAAAGTAGAGGAAATTCGGATTAGCAAATTTCCATTTTATTTAAATTATTCATTTCAATTTGGTAATATCATCTTACAGGCCCTATATGGTAGTATCTTTTTATGCAAAAAGAAAAACATCCAATCTTTTGAATTACAAGTAGGGATCACATGATTGGAAACAGTAATTTTTTATTCTTAATGTCCAGGAAAAAGGTAATGACCTTGACCTGACCTTGCCTCTAATATTAAAATTTTCAAATTTAATTTCACTGATACCATCACTTAGTGATATTGTCCTCTTGATTCTGTGAAAATTTCATTAATTTTTAAATACAAGAAATGTGAGAAGAATCCTACCTTAATATGCGTCATAACAGAGAAGATGGTTGATACTGATTACATTAAAAGATAAGTATCATTAAGAGTAAAACGCTTGCCATCCAAAAGTGAGTTGTATCTCAAACGGCCTACCTCGTTTTCTTGACGCCATGTGTCGTTGTTTGTTCATGCAGAAAGTAGTGACGGCGTCAGGTGATGAATCTTTTTAAAATAGTCATTTCTCTCCTGGCAGGATTATAGATAATTATAATTTAATAACTTTATAACGCGTTCAATTTTAATGATGTAATTTACAGTATTTTCGTAACCTTTATTGGTAAACAAAATATATAAATTTCCAACCGTGTTTAAACCAGTCTGGCGCAAGTTATAGCGTGTATTACTTTAAAATAATTTACTTTGACCTTAGAGTTGGACCAATTGTTCAAAAAACTTTATCTTGGCCATAACTTATGAACCGTTAGTACATATACTATGGCTTTCATATTTCACATGTATATTCTTGTTACAAGGCCTTCCTTTTGATAACAAAAATTTAGACCTTTTGACCTTGGAGTTTGACTTGCAATTGAGGAACGTCAACCCTCGTCGTAAGCGGTCATAGGGGGCATCAGTGTTTCACAAACACTTCTTCTTGATTTTATTACAGGCTTGGAGTGACAATGGTCTTCCCATGTCTACGACGAATAACGAAGCATGTAAATTATATGACGCCTCCCTAACACAGGTAGTCAAACGTACTGGTCAACGTAATATACATGTATATGATCACGGGCACCTGAAGTATGGATTCCCCCCCCCCCTTCTTTTTAAATGAAAAAAAAATTAAGAGGGTATAATATCTCAAAAATATAAAATTTCCCCGTCAAACACATCTATAATTATGTCGTTATATGCAAGCAGATTGTACTTTTTCTCACGTTTAAAGAATGGGCCTATTCGGTATAATAAAAATACACAAGGTAAGAAACAAAAGTTGTAAACAAACGGGAGGACCTCTGCTTCGAGACAGATTTCCAAGGTAATAACAGTGTTACCTATCATAACTCGTGTTACCTATCACAAGAAAACATTGATGTGACCAAAAAATTATACACTCTTACATTTTTTTTCATTAAAAAAAAGGGGGGGGGTATTATCCATACTTCAGGTGCCTGTGTATATGATTACAATGCAATTATTGTGCAGCATGTCTCATTAAAAAAATCTATCAATTTGGTCTTCGAAGGCTAATGGTCGCTATCTACCTTTAAATTTATTATTTGCCCCTATTTATGTAATTTATTTTATCGTTACCCCCCCCCCCCCCTTAAAAACAAATTTAATTTATTTTACAGTCATATGGAATGTATAACGAACCGTCCGTTGGTGGACTAGAAAACTGTGTAAAACAAATGCTTACAGCTGATCCAGATTTTGGTAAATGCACTATGTTTTAAATGAATCAATAATAATTAATTATGCATTTACGAGTAGAATTTTCAAAGATTGGATACACGCAGAGGATTTGTACAACGTAAATAAAAAAATATGTTTCTTTTTAAAGTTATGGGCAATGTGCTGAATCACAATATGCAGCTTGGAGGATGTGAGAAACCTCTCCATTTAAACCCAGAGCTACAGAAAAAAATCGCGCAACTAAAGTCCTTGAAAGAGAAGGTCAAGGCCATTACAGAGAGGGAGGAAAGGCACATTAATGCCACCTGTTTGTTTGCTCAAGGGTTAGTAATCCAGAATTTGTACTAGTTTACATGTGTATAGTCCTCTACAGGTTTTCCCCTAGCCTGTCCATCTGTCTATCCAATTTGATGTCTATTTCCTTCTCTCTGTCCGTCCCACTTGGATATCAGGACTATTTTTCTAAAAGCTTACAGATATTGAGCTGATTTGGGAGAGGGGGATATTTGAGTGTACCTTGTAGGGTCTTTCAAAAGAAATTATGGGGAAACATTTCACTTGCTGGTTGGGGACTAGAAATTTAAACAATACTCTCAAAATAATTGTCAAATTAACATTTGTTTCCTTCATTTCTGATATTGAAGTAGATTTAATCGTAGTTATAAGACATTGTGCTGACTTCATTTAAAACAGAAAACGCTATGAAGCCATTCAGGCCTGGGAAGACATTTTGATAGATTATCCTACGGACATGATGGCGGCCAGGCAGTGTTTTCTGGGAATGATTAACCTGGGACTACAACAAGAAAACAAAGACATAATGACAAGAATTTTACCTCACTTTTCTCTTGAAACGCCAGGATACAGGTTAGCAAACTGAATGTGTTTTTTGTCTTGCCTACTTGGTATTAAACTTTAGCAAATAATTTAAGATAAATTTCATTTGTACATGACTGAATAGTTTCTTTTTTTAGCTCACCTGGATGAGATGATTATCCGATAAACATTCGACTCTCTCTTTGTCATGTTTTAATATTTTTTTTTATATTTTCGATGACTTGTGCAGTTTCAAAAGAAAGATACTTAACTGTTAAAAATAAAAGAAATTAATACATGTTCTTTCAAAAATGGTTCAAATTGTTAAAACAAAACCGATTGGGGCCACAATAGATATTTACACTGGAATATCAGAAAGTTTTCTAAAGAACCACTGCGCCATGACTAATATAAATCATTAATCAATTAGTGCAGTTTTATATTTGCTAAAATCATGGTCCAGGTAGGAAGGGGGGGGGGCTAAACAGTAATAAGGGCCAATGCATTACAGGTGAGGATTGTAGTCAATGGGCCTCTTGTTTTTAAAGCAGACACGTTTGTAACTTTTCTTTCCTGTTTGTTTTAACAGCACAATTCTAGGTTGGCAAGCGTTCTGTTTGGAAGAAAATAATTATTATGACCTTGCAGAAAAAGTTGCAAAGAAGGTAAAAGTTTACTGAAGAAAATTAATTAAACGTTTATGAAACAAGAAATAGGTCAATATGAAACAGGAAAAGATCAACGCGGGAGGTTTGACAAAACATCGTGATAGTTATTAATATAATAAAGCTCATCTATTGTTTTTAATAATTGTACCATATTTCAGAGTCTGGAATTAGAACGCCATGAGACCTATGCATCTCACACTTTATCACATGTGTATTTGATGCAGGGAATGCACGACAAAGGGATTAATTTTATGCTGTCCACGGAAAGCGACTGGAATGTATGTATATAATAAGTATACTTAGGTATGTATTCCATGTAATTGTCAATAACCAACTTTATAATTTTAAGTTTTTGTTTAATTTATTAGTTTTTTTTTTAACAAAACATAATATATATTACAGCGGTGCGAATTTCTTGCCTGTCATAATTACTGGCACGTAGGAATCTTTCATGCTGAGAAGGTAGATACAACTTTTCATTATTATCACAATTGTAAAAATATCTTAAAGCCAAAAATATTTCATCCCATACAGTATCATCTTTGAAAATGATTCCCACAGACGGCCAATGGGC